TACTGAATTGCAAGAATTCCTGAATCATCGGTCTTGACAAACCTGATCTTTTTTTGGGAGTAGGTATCTACTTCAACCACACTCCCTAGTTCTTCCGCTTCAGGTAAAATAATACAACTTAATACATTTGATTATCAATAGCCTGAATGCCTATAGCAAAGAGGAAATACTATTATATTTTATTCTGTTTAGATAACTAAAATGAATATTCACTAGAATGTTCGACAATAGTTCATTGTATCAGACAGTGTCGATATAGAAAGTAATGTCATGCAAGAAAGTACTTCTTTTCCAATATTGTGCAATACATTCCATATTATTGTTCTACGAAAATTCATCAGAGAACTCGAAGTTCATGTTTGCTACGAATGATTTTTATCATAGCAACCAGAAGACTCGAGAACTTTCATATGTTTAGGGTGGAATGTGAGTGATTTGTTAATCCGCGTCGACACTCACATTCAAAATATGTGTTAAAAATATTTCTTTCATTGTCATAGAATAAAAAGTAAATAAATAAAGAAATCATTTCATTTAATAGGAAAGATCCTTCAAAGTCTGAAGTTTTTAAATAAAGAATTTCATCGAAACTAATTCATAGTCAATTCAAAATAAGATGGATGAATTTTAATATATCTACGAAGACTATTCTTCTCAGTCACTTAGAGAATAGGATGTGTTTTTAATTCTGATAGTCTCATGTTTCAAGTTATACTTTCAAATTAAGAAAAATGCATAATGCAGAATTATTTCTTCTTTAACAACAATAGAATTATTTTGATTTTATATTAAACAATAACTTCATTGAATAAATATCATTCTTTTTGTTTTTTCTGACAATTTCAGGTATTGACTTCAGAAAATTGTTCATTTATGGTTATCGAGAATGTGGGTGTGAGTGTGTAGATATTTCTTTTGTCTTCATCTCACACCCACACCCCTACTTAGTTTACGTTTAAGATATTGTAAAAAAAAACTTTTCATTAAAACGTATTTAACTATATTGTAAATAGACGGACAACAGAACCTAAATCAAGAGACTAAATAAAAATTTAGTATACTGCATGTCACTTATTGAAGTCATGGAATGGAACACCTGTTTATTTAGAAGATGAGAAGGAGAACTCTGAATTCTTCACGTCCAAATATCTGTAATCAAATTTCTTAAAATACTAAATAATGTTCTCGATAACGTTTGAAAGTTACTTTTGTTGGGAGAGTAGTATTGCTTTTCGATTAGTTGAACAGACACAAGTATTTTTATGTGAATGACTCTTTCTTTCAAAAACAAAAAGGAGTAACTCACTTTTGTTTTTATTATTTTTCAAAAACTTTGAAGAATTAACACGTCGTTCATAGTTTGATCATCTAAAATCTCTGTTTTTTTATTCAAAATCCAAATGAGTCAAACTATCAGAATTGAACGAAAAACAAATTTTGATCAATTGAAAACATCATTTTATTTTATTTATTAAATAAATGTTACAAGAAAAAAGATCTATATGTTCAAGCCATTTCCATTGTAAATAGACATCATTCAGTATACGTTTAACTGTAAAATAAGGAAGTAGTTTGTCACATTTGATCATTTCTTCAATATTTTCAACTATTCGATCATCTACTGTTGAAATATGAAAACATAATAAACGAAGATGATGATTATTATTGCGATTAATTTTCTTGAAAATAGTACGTAAAAACGATTGAATATCTGTTGTATTTGTACGTCCAACTTTGAAATATTTCATATATGGACAAAGTGTGAAAAGAAAATCAAGTTCTTTATGAATATCACCAATTTCCTCAAGATAGACTTTGGTAATTTGACTTGTCTGCTTCATTGAACATAAAATCAGAAGTTCTTTAAGAGTTAATTCTGTTGTTTTATCTGTTGATAATGAATGAATTTTTAATGTAGTTATATTTGGTAATAGATTGATAATTTGAATTAATACTGGAATTGAGAGGTCTTCTTCGAGAATTTCCAAATAATAAATTTTTGTTATTGTTAATACACGTTCAATTTCTTTGGATCTTTCTTCGTCAAATATAGAATCAGGAATACATTCGAATGTCAAATTAATAAATGTAGAACAATCAATAATATTATCATTTGTTTCATAATACCATCCTTTACTAAAAAGAAATCAAATTATTCATTGTTTTCTATGGAAATTATTTTTCTATTTACCTATATGGACGAATTGTATATTTGATAGATATATCTTTAATTTCAACTTCAAATAGCCATTGTCGTTCAATCCAAAATGATGAAGAAAATTGATTTGGTCTTTCAGTATATATTGGATAGTTTTGTTCATCATCATCATCATCATCATTATAAATGAGATAAAATTCTTCTAATTGAGGAAAATAATTTAAAATTGATTGTTTCCATCGACATGCATGAAGAAAAGAAATATCTTTTGATCCAACAATGCATAAACTTTTTAAATTTGGAAATATTTTTATTGTCATAAATATTTCTAATTCCTTAAATTTTGTTAGACATAAATCCAAATAGATCGATTTTAGATTATCTAATGTAATTGATGATAATATTATAATATTTGAATCATTGTTAGATTTTATTTTATGAAGAGTTAAACGACGGAGTTGTGGTGTATGAGAAAGTAAAGATGTGAGTTCATTCAAAGAACAATAATGATCAATAACAAGATATTCAATAGGACTAAATTGATTATTCATAGCCATTGGAATTGTAATTGACTGATGAATAGCAGAAGAAACAATGCGATAATATTTCAATTTAGGTAAGACAAATATCAATCGAAAAATATCATTGATTTTTTCTTCAACATTAGATGTTTCGATTGTTAATGAAAATAAATGTGGTAACGAAGATAAATTACTTAGAACTAGAATAAGTGCATTAGATGGAATGTCTTTAAAAACAATAGATTGAAGCCGATAAAACGATGAATCAAATGAAAATGACGATGAAAAAAAATAAGGATCGTATAATATAAAAAAATTACACGTATGGAAAATATTTGATGTCGATTGGCAAACATAAATCGTTTAAACATATTCATATTTTCATCATTCTTAAGTATGTGAAAACTAGTCTTTAATAATACCGATGAAGAATGAAGAAGTTGTTCAAGTCGAAAATTAAGATTTGAAAATATTTGATATAACCAATATCCATCAAGATAATCAAATATTTCACATAGTAATTCATTTGATAGATCTTCAAAACAAGTCATGGTTTGATCAAACTTATCTATTACAATAAAAAAATAAAAACAAATGAGTAATTTTATATATTCATCAGATAGATAACTTACTACGAAATTTCTTTGATATTTCTTTTAATAAATCATCAGAACATAGTTTTCGTTTGACTTCAGTTATACTTATTGCTCAGTCTAAATTGAATGAAGTTGTTTATGAAATGAATTCTTCACTTCGAATATGCTTTTATATAATGTTCGGATAAAAGAAGAATAAGTCGTCAAGGTCAATGCCTGATAGAAAAAGCTATAGACAGAAAAGAAAAGCAAAGTAATAACGGTCGTATAACTTGATATACAATCAAATGATATTGCAAATTTGAGAGAAGTTAATTGATCAATCTATGCCGTTTGATCTTCTAAAAATTTCGTTTTTATTTGCTTATCAATTTTCTTTAAAAGACATAGAAAATTCATAATAATCATCTCTTCATTATTATTGCAAACACATTTAATTGTATAATCCACAAGTAGTTTGTCATAAACGATTAATTTTTCTAATTTTTCCATCATTTGGTCATCTCTTGTTGAAATACGCAAACATTGATCGAAATCACCGATCATTTCAATTAAAATCTCTTTTAGAAATACTTCAATATCAATATTATTGATTTGTAAATAATTCATTCGACGACAAACTTTGATAATTAAAAAAAAAGAAAGAAGTTTTAATGTAACAAGTTCATATAATACTTCTATAAAATAAATTAATAGACCAACAATCGATATATTTATAGTTTGAAAAGATGTACCCTTGCTATTGAAAAAAAAAATTCTGCAGATGTACTGCTGGAATCACAAATTATTTAAAGCTCAAGTTTATATCAAATAGAAGCTAGTTTATTGGATAGATTAACATTTGTTATATGTTTCTCAATTTCAATTTTATACTTATCTTCGAAGGATAACTTTTTATTATATTTAATCATAATATGATGCATATCAACTAAATATTGAGAGTGAGATGAAGATGAGTACAATATATACATATTTGTGAGAAGGACAAAATTAATCTTTTATTTTACCTATCTATAGTTATAGCACATAGAAATCTTTATCAAATATTCATAGTGACATGCTTTAACAAGCATGAAGGATTATCTGAACGAGAATCATAAAATTAGAACAAGCCTCAAACCTGTGATCCCTCCGATAACCAGTCGGATGTTTGAGGGTGTGGGTTTAGTTCTTCTCTTCAACTGCACTCTCACACCCGCACCCAACCACATCCACACTCACACCCCCACACCATAATCTAAGTATGAATTGTTAATCTTCTGTGAGAATTACCTTTTCAATATGTTAAAAGAAAATACTTTAAAATTTTTTCGTTTTCTTGAATAAGACTTTCATCAAGGAAAAATTAATCTTTTCACATCTCTGACTGAGATACTAAAATTTTTTAATTTGAAATTCTGTTTAAATAAGTATATATGATACGTAATGATCAATTGATTTGTACGATAAAACATGAAATTAATATTTAGAATCTTTTTAAGAGCTCAACATATGAAAATCTATTAAGAGTGCGACTTAGTCAAAAACCCGAGTGGATTTATATCTTGGTTTCAATAGGTGGATAATAAACATTGGTCCGAAAATTATTGAATTTACCTGATGTATAAACTGAACATATATAATTCTATTCATATTATTAAATTAGGAAAAGAATATCTAAACAATCGGATTTTGAAGAATTTTTGCGTTAGAAAGATTAGACTCAACAGACAAAACTGTTATTATGAAGAGTTTGTCTATACTGAAACGCTCGCAAATATCCTTCCGATATGTTTCTTTTTTTCGAGTGATCGGTAGGTTTCGAACGGTTGAAATATGTGCGAAGAGTTGATAGCATTATTGCGATAGATGTTCTTTCTCTGAGCACTCCGAACTTCAATGAGTGTCGAGCAGACGAAAATGACTGTTCAATAGGATATAGCTTTCGAGTGCTCGAAATTCAATGTGTATCGAGAGACTCGAAACTGGAACAGAATAAATAAAAAATGCATATTTCAAATTTTCGACCACTCATCGAGACTATCATACGTTTTTTCTCTGCTTGGATATGAGCTTTAATTTACCCCAAACCTACTATGACACATACTTGCGTCACTTGCAGTCAGGAACCTAAGAAATATATGACGTTATGAATCAATTTGATGTTGAAAATAAAAGGAAGCTCTAATATGAAAATAATATAAAGTTTTATTCAACTATTCATTTTTATATAATAAATGGATCAATATGAACTGGACTCTAATTCTAAATAGAATTCTTCTCTCATTTCCTATTTAATAAAATATTCAATTATAGGTAAAACGATAAAGAATTAAAAGCTCTAAAAAGCAATGTACTTCACTTTTAAAAAGACTTCTCTTTTCATTGGAAAACAAATAATAGACCAATGTAGATTGTATATTCCCACCGCGACATTTCAATCTAACGAAGAAAACCGTGATAAAGCTCATAAAAAAATTCATTAGGCTTTTTTCTAATTGATCGGAAAAATTTTCCACGAAATCGTTTACGTTTTTGCCTATATTAGAGAAGTCGATCAGATAGAGAACAGAACTCTCTTTCTTCTATTATAAAGTAGTTTGTTTTAAATATCTATTTTAATTTAAAGTGTATACTTTTGAAAAGGGCAACCATCGACATATCAATCTTTAGATTCCTATGCAAACGACAAAGTTTATCTTTTTTTTTAAAGTGAAATGCACAGTTTTGTAGAGCGTGAAATTTTCTTTCTTTTGCCATTCAATTGAACACATTGTTTTTTGATGAATGGTAAATGAGAGACAGACAAAAAATTCATTTACATCTAGTCCAATTCAATGTGACTCATTTGTTTTTAGCTTAGTTTTCTCTTCTAATAACAATAAATACTGATAAGACTATCTCTATTCAACTCCATTATAGATTTAATTCATGGATAAACTTCATTAGATGACGATAATTAATCATTGGATCGAATCGATACTTAATCTCCTTATTGGAAAAATCGATTACATCGAGAAAGAGAAACAACAAATTATGTAGGATTTACAAATCGTATTGGTTTTTTAATTTATTTTATTGAATTTGTTGATGATAGAAGAATCTATAGATGACGTTTATCACGTGTTTATACAATAACTAAACGACCATTGGGATCAAGATATACTTTACTTATTACATCTGTCATTTGAACCTCTATTAACAAATATATATATATATACATTTATTTGCAACTATGTTTTTTAAATTTAACCTGAAAATGATGAACTTTTTGTGTCTTTTGATCTTTCATAAAGACATCGTCATTGTAAAGTTTTCTCATTTAAATGTAAAATAAAAACATTATTTTATACAACGAGATGATTTATTTTTGTATTTTTGTCAAATCTAAATATTTCTTTTCTTGATTAAAAATAAATAAATAGAATAAGATAACTTACTTCCATGGTAACTCACTCTTGAGAAAGATAGGCTGGAGACCGCGGTATCTAATGTCATATTTTGAAAAAAAAAAAGAAAAGAAAAGATCTGTAGATTTTCAAGAAAGTTACCTTGACTTCACTTGTGACTGAGAAAGTCTCGAACTTGTCCTTTTCGATTATAATTGAAATGGGAAGACTTCACAAAATAAAGACAATCATTTATTGTAGTGAAAAATATCTATGTTACAAACATTTAAACCATGTCTTCACACTTCTCTTATTTGTTAATGTTGATTTACTTCTTATAGCGATCTTTCGTTATATTGTTTGTAATGTTTATTTTTTGATTCACTCATGTTTGAACGAACATGGAAAAGAGTCGAATAGGTTAATCGTCATTCAAGATGTTACTTTCTGTTTAAGAAACAGATTTTTGTATAAAATTCGCTTTAGTAATATTGGTCATAGTAATGACGAAATGTTGCATAATATAGATATTGACTACTTGAAATGGAGTAGATTAACTGAAGAGTTTATCTTCTCATTTTTTTTCAGAAGGACAAAATGCTGTGATACATGTAAGAGATACCTTATACAGATCAAGGTAGCTTTAATACTACGACATCTCTCTCTTTCATTCTTGTTCTTTCATCATTGATCAATAGTCATCTCATCAATAACTTTTCGTCGCACACGACAAGCGTATATTTCAAGCTTATATTGTTGTTTTCTCGTTGTTTTTTTTCATGATAACCCTGATATAAGCTTATGTATATGTATATAAGCGTGTTTGCTGATGATAATATTATTTTTATTCTGTGTTAACCGTTTATGTCTGCCAGGAAAGATCGATGTTGATAATCCATATTTTACCTCTTAATTCAGTAGGTCTCTTGAAATAGTATCTGCCGTTTGCCATTTATAGAAAGAGAGAGAAAAGAACGAGAAAGAATGCAACCACACATTGATGTGCGAAAAATCGATTTTTAGCAATAAGTAAATATACACAGGCACATACAAAGAGCATTGAATAGAAACTTTTATTATACTGAAGACAAAAATTAGCATACACACACGTTCGTTCATGTCCAAGAAAAAAACAACGAGTGACAGAAGAGAAAAATAGAAGCTTTGAAAAGGGTAGACAAATGATGAAAGTAAGCAGCTAAGTCAACTTTATTGTCATGTCTTGTCTTGGATGAATTTAGTGACAAAAGAGTAACATACAAGCTACGCCCTTTCTTCAATATTCAGCATGTTACACTTTCGAATGAAGAACACTTCTATTATTCGAGGATTAATAAAAATAGCTTTTTAAATACATGTGTTAATGAGTCTCTTTTGTTTTTTATTCTTCGAATGTATCAGTTGAAAAGAGAAATTCACTTTATTTTCATTGTGACCATCGGAGACATTATAGAAGATATTCTCTTTATTTGGATGAACCTTTTCATTTTAGCGATACATTATGTATGTCTGTTTTAGATAGTATAAATAAAAGATGTAGTTGCTAAGGAATTATTTGGTTCCCTTATTATTCACGCAAATAACATG